GAGTCTGGACAATGGGCACTGGTGCAGCTGATGGAGTCTGGAAACAGGGCAGTGGTGCAGCTGATGGAGTCTGGACAATGGGCACTGGTGCAGCAGATGGAGTCTGGAAACAGGGCACTGGTGCAGCTGATGGAGTCTGGACAATGGGCACTGGTGCAGCAGATGGAGTCTGGACAATGGGCACTGGTGCAGCTGATGGAGTCTTGAAACAGGGCAGTGGTGCAGCTGATGGAGTCTGGAAACAGGGCAGTGGTGCAGCAGATGGAGTCTGGACAATGGGCAGTGGTGCAGCTGATGGAGTCTGGACAATGGGCACTGGTGCAGCAGATGGAGTCTGGAAACAGGGCAGTGGTGCAGCTGATGGAGTCTGGACAATGGGCACTGGTGCAGCAGATGGAGTCTGGAAACAGGGCAGTGGTGCAGCTGATGGAGTCTGGACAATGGGCACTGGTGCAGCTGATGGAGTCTGGAAACAGGGCAGTGGTGCAGCTGATGGAGTCTGGACAATGGGCACTGGTGCAGCTGATGGAGTCTGGAAACAGGGCAGTGGTGCAGCAGATGGAGTCTGGACAATGGGCACTGGTGCAGCTGATGGAGTCTGGACAATGGGCACTGGTGCAGCTGATGGAGTCTTGAAACAGGGCAGTGGTGCAGCTGATGGAGTCTGGACAATGGGCACTGGTGCAGCTGATGGAGTCTGGAAACAGGGCAGTGGTGCAGCTGATGGAGTCTGGACAATGGGCACTGGTGCAGCTGATGGAGTCTGGAAACAGGGCAGTGGTGCAGCAGATGGAGTCTGGACAATGGGCACTGGTGCAGCTGATGGAGTCTGGACAATGGGCACTGGTGCAGCTGATGGAGTCTGGAAACAGGGCAGCGGTGCAGCTGATGGAGTCTTGAAACAGGGCAGTGGTGCAGCTGATGGAGTCTGGACAATGGGCACTGGTGCAGCTGGTGGAGCCTGGAAACAGGGCAGTGGTGCAGCAGATGGGGTCCAGCGTAACAAACCTTCCAGGAGGTAAATCTGGAAGTTCAGGCTGTTTGCGCTGTAAATAGAAACCCAAACATTGTTTTGAGAAACTGCAAAAGAGAAAATATTATCTGTTCACTGCAAATATCTAAATTAACAGGAATTAGTGGCAAGATGTGGTATATTCTGTCATGACAAACCTGGAATAAATTTGTTTAGGTGGCAGTGAAATGATTCCAGGGATGTGGAGCTTCTGGCACACCGGTACGTTTTTAGAACCATCCCGCCCTTGTTTATGGTTCCAGTTTCCGTGTATAGTGGCACATCTGGAGGGTCCTGGATACAGGTGACGTGCCGTCTCTGGACATGCCAGATGTGCTGCATCCTCACACTGTCAAGGAGAGGAACACCAAGGGCGTCATTCCCCTTGCCACCCATGAGCTCTCTGATGAGCATATCAAGGAGGCGGATAGTGGTTTCCTCTCCTCGTGTTCTCCTCCTGCAGTGTTGGGCCAGCTCATCTTTGCTTATATGTTACGATCCTCGGTATTTGTTTTGTGTGGGTTGTTGGTGTTCTGTCTGTGTATGTGTCCAGGAGTGATTGCAGCTGGAGTGCCCTGATTGGTGGATCTACTGATGCACCGCATTTAAAAGGGCGGCGCTCACTGAAGATGGGGAGCTCATTCTGGCGTTGGCCTCGTGGCGTTAGGAGCTCCGGATTCCTCCTCCCGTCGACAGATCCCAAACCCTTCGACTTTATGATTATGTGTTACTGATGATTTACTTCGACTTTGTTTGTATGATTTAGGAGCGTAGGGGTGTCCTGCCATTTAATTTGACTTCGTTTGCGATTTGTTTATTTATAGGGAGTTAGGGAAGTTACTTTGTAATTTGATTTACTCCCTGATTAGGTAATTTATGTATGTTTGTTTATAAGTTTATTTTGTTTATTATTTTGGCCTTGGGGCACCCTGAAGCCATTACTCCTTAATTTAATCATTTCTTTCCATTATAAAAATAAATTATATTTTTATTGGAACCTAGTTTTGTGTCTTTGGTGATCTGTCGGCCGGGGCTGGTTTCCTTTTAACATCAATAAACTCCACGTCCAACCGTCCTTATAATACGGGACGTAACAAATATGACGGTCAAGCTCTGCCGCTGTAATTGCAGGCCAGCAATTCTCAACAGAGTGAGATCCCCTGCGTCCTACTCAAAAATACAGGATGACAACCTAGACATAAAAGTAGGGTACAACTGGTGGGCATCAGTGGTGCACCCTACTGTCAGACGTCGCATAAAATGCCAAATGTCTAGCCCTCTCCCAGTTCCTTGCAACAGTCACAGTCCACATCCAGGATAGTGGGAGGATCAACACCAGCTCGCTGGTACCTCTCCATGAGCCCTGCAGCCATGAGGTCTAACCCAGCCCCTTCATTCGCAGTCAGGACACTCATCAGCACCTGACCTACCTCATTGCCTGGAATTCTCCCGGTGCTCCCGATTAGCCAATCCGGGCCTGCCGCCACATTATAGCAGTTTATAAATCTAAAATAATACATACTGTATATCATCACCTATTGTTGTGATAGATCTTCTTATCAAGTTTTTGTAAACATTACAAGTTTTGAACTTCTATTTGCTATTTATGGCCTGTATGCCTCATTGACCTGGGCTCATACAACTTGTTTTGGAGTAAAAAGCATAATGTATGTATGGATTATTTTGACTATAACAAATACTCAGATTAAACATTGTGTTATTTAACCTGTGCCTGAATTTAATTTTATACACTTATTTTATTCTCATCCATTCACTTCTAATGACTGCTCATTTTTGACCACAGGTGTATAAAAGTTAAACAAACACCAAAAAGTTAAACATTATCCAAATTTATTGTGTGTTACATTTTATGCCAGTGTTACAGTAGACTAGTACAATGACATTTATTTCCATTGATTTATCCATGTCCCATGAAGTAACAAACACTATCAGATATGCTAATTTAGTAATCCTGTCAGAAAAAAAAAAAGTTGATAACGTGAGCTAAGTTAGGTAACCGCCTTCGAAGGCACACGAGCCGAGGACAGGAGATCATTCCCTCATGATTCTGTTCTATTCAATTCAACTCTATTCTGCGGCTAACACGAGGGACGAAAACACCTCGAGGAGCCAAAGAAACACTCCTTCCCATACCGGGAGTCGAACCCGGGCCGCCTGGGTGAAAACCAGGAATCCTAACCGCTAGACCATATGGGAGTCATGTGTGAGAGAGTGTACGTGGCCAGTCCAAGGACAGGACTTTGTCGTGTGTGTGTGTGTGTGTGTGTGTGTGTGTGTGTGTGTGTGTGTGTGTGTGTGTGTGTGTGTGTGTGTGTGTGAGAGTGAGTGAGAGAGAGAGAGAGAGAAACCTCCTTTAACAATGTGAGGCTGACCAATGATGATAGTAGTAATGCATTAATAGCTCATAGTACAGGAGGCTATTTAAAAGTATATAATAGTACACTTCTAATATTATACACTGTTTATTGACAGTGCGGAGCTGAAGAAGCATGTCTAGGTCGACAGTGGTGTGGAGAAAAGATCTGGCTGCCCAACGCCTGACTAGTGTCCAAAACTCGAGAAATACTCAACTTTATGCTAATTTAAATGAAACACGCCAGACGGCAGCCAATTGGTGTGGAGACAGGCAGTGACGTCAGTCACGAGCGATATGTGTTGGAATCTCTGCCGGATTTAGTGTGTAAATCACAGCCTATTATTTAAACACATTACTATATTAAAATTCAGATTTCTCATGCAGTTCAGATGGTTTCATTGTGACTGGCTGGGTTTACAAAAGTGTATTAAATTGACACCACATCTTTATTTTAGGAATTTAAACAAATAAAGCTTGCATCTTTCCTCCTATAATCATGTGTATAAACTAGGCTATAATTTTACCCCACAAATCTAAAAACATCTCTCATTAACACATTTTTTGATATTCAACTAAATACGTCACAGTTCACTATTTTCCAGACACAAAAATAACCTCAAGGCTGTTTTTGCTGATTCTCACAAATGTTGATTTTCAAGTTAAGTCAGCTTTACACGGCACAGATTGTTTCAACGCAGCTTCAGTCAAAAATAGGAAAATAACGATCAATGATGCAATTTCTTCAAATAGGCCTATGACACAAATTCTACAGAAGACGGTGTCATTATTCAGCTCAAATCACTTTAATGTTAATATTCAGAAATTATTCGAAATTAATAAGAGTATATCCATTTATCAAATGAGTTCACATGAGATTTCGTGTCATCTGTGGTCAAGAGAAACTAAAGGAGTCATGACATAAACAATCTAATTTGTTGTGATCTTTTGACATAAGAGGTCTCTGTAACATTAATAATATGTTTATTTTATATAGTGCCTTTCAACCACACTTTACAATATAGAACAATAAAGTACATTTGCATATGCCCGCCTCCAGAGCAAGACATTGACGAATAGTCACACATCATCACACCATAGGCCTTTTTTTTGTAAAAGAGTTTGCAAATAAACTTTTGTTGACAGAGGAAGCGTCTGACAACAGCTGCATCAAAAACCATTGTAATTTTTCATAATGCTTAAATGACTGCTTTATATGGATCAGTGTTTTCAAAACACAAGCAATGGCGAGTGGGCGTTGACACTGTTTCCTATGCAGTGACGTTAGCCAATCATAACAGTGGTCGTTTACTGACCAGCCTTAAAGGAGCCGCGCCTTAAAAACGGATAATTTCAGACAGAGGCTCAGAATGACGGTTGAAAATAACTGTTTTTCCACATATTTCCAAGTTATTTTTTTAGAAAAATACCTTAACATAGTGAACCTCACGGAACATATATATATATATATTAAAAAAATAATCCATGTCTTGACCCCTTTAAGAAGTGTGGGTCATCTTACCCCGTCTTATATTTCAAAGCACGGTGGTATTACATAACAGATGGTAGCTCCGCCCCCTCATGAGTCGAAGCCCCGCCCACCGCACATAGAAGCCACCCGACAACACAACACTGTCTCTCGGCAGAGAAACTCCTCAGAAACACAGATTTCTCGGACCTGTTCTCCGTGGGAACATGCATTCGGGCCAGCTGGAGAAAGCGGGATCTCTGAGGAAACGGACTCTCTCTCGAGGGATGAGCGAAGAAGAGTCTCTTCGGCACATCATCAGAGAGGTAACGTTATGAGTCTTCAGAGTCCGGATCTTCTTTGTGTGACTCGTGACTGGGTTTCTGGGTTTCTGCTGTAATTGTCTTCTGATCTTTGATGGTGGTGTCTCCTGGATTACATTAGCCATCCTATTATAAACGCCAAAGCCTCGATAAGATGATAATTGGCTGATTTGGGACTGTTCTCTAACTGTAGATGATCAAATTCTCTTTACCTGAAGACTTACTTGATTATAAATATATAGCAAATGCTATTCTTATTTTTCTTAAATAAATACGACCTGTCATTTTAACAGAACACACCCTCCGATGATGATGTGCGCGATGATGCCGAATCTCGCGATAAAAAACGAATTAGACGTGACGAACGATCAAAGCTGTTCATGATTTACTGATTTTACTGCAGAATTGAAATATGTTATAATCTCCCTCTATGATCAATCAGTGTTCGCAATCATATGAAGTTTTAGTCTGAAACTTCAGTCTTAAAGGGACAGTTCACCCAAAAATTAGAATTCTGTCATCATTTACTCTCCCTCATGTCGTTCCAAACACGTAAGACTTTCGTTCATCTTCGGAACACAAATGAAGATATTTTGAATGAAATCTGAGAGATTTCTGTTCCTCCATTGACAGTCTACGCAATTAACTAGGCTACCACTGTGACTGTGATACTTCAAAAAGTTCATAAAGAGATCGTAAAACTAATCCATGTGAATTGAGTGGTTTAGTCCGATTTGTGGCACTTTTTTGTAGGGCATGGAATCGACAAAGTGAATCCATTCTGAGGTGAATCGACTCCAAAGTGAATCCATTCTGAGGTGTTGGGAATCAAGAGTCGATTCCATCAAGACCCATATAGTAACATAGTGTCGGCCCACATCTGGGCCGTGTGGGGTCCAATTGTACCAGATGTGGGGTGGATTTCTGGGAAGGAATTGAATCCTCTTTAAAAGCCTTTTTCAAAATAACAGCTCATAATTCGCCTCTGGTTCACTAATAGTTTTCAGAAATACGATTCATTTCCGTGAACAGATTCTTTCGGGCGGTTTGTTTCAACGAACTGGTTAAACCGAATCAGCGGTTCTTTTACGCTATCGTTTCATGATGTCACTAGAACGTCTTTCTTCACACTGAAACATTATAATAATTATTATTACCTTTCATCCGCTGAAGTTAATAGTGTTTGTCGTCACGGTTTCATTCTGTTATTCTACTTGGACATGTTTTTAAAGTTTAAGACATTCAAGTTTTGCACCCCGATATTCCGCAGAAGTGAAATTCACAACTTTGGATGAAAACACAGCTATAGCACTATGGGCAACCACAAACAGGTGAAACACAATATTCCTCATTATAATAATTCATACGCAGAATAAAGGGGTGGGGCCTGGTTGAGTTAGTTAGTAGTAGGGCTGGTCCGAATACCATTTTTTGAGCTTCGAAGCTTCGGTAGTAATGAACATCGAATATTCAAAGCTTCGAATCTCTATATATCTGTCTGTCCATTTGCATTTTGATTATTTCGAGAACCGTTCATCCAAACGACTTCACAAGGAGTGCAGTGTCGTATTTGGTGCAATATAGATATAGACAGGCGAGACGTGACACGTTCAGAATTAATAAACTACAGAACAGTGCGAGCGGGAAGCGCGCGGGCCTCACGCGAGCAGGGCTTATATGCTCCGAGAACGAACACTGCACTAGTGATATAAAACACACAGGTCTGTTAACTTAAGCAATATTTTTAATAAGTCTTCTAATATTTTTCTCACTAACAAATTACTGACAAAGTAGGGTAGATTTAAATAAAGAAGCGGCGCGCCTCACGCGAGCAGGGCTTACATGCCCCGAGAATGGACACTGCATAAAACACACACACATGAGGTCTTTTAACTTAAGCAATATTTTTAATAAGGTATAGTCTTATAATATTCTCACTGACAAAGTCGGGTAGATTTAAATAAATAAAAATGAAATTTAAATAAATAAAAACGAAATTTAAAGACAAACGAAAAATAAATGAACGAACTGTAATAGCCTAAGAACACGGTAGCAATAACAATTTAAATAACAACATCACAAATTTCTATTAATATTTCGCAGTAGATTAATTTAGATTGATAATAACGGGTAAAAAGGATAATACATTTTGTTTCTATTATTCTATTTTCCACAATGTCAAAGCAACGCAGCTTAACCCAAAACTCAGGCACTTCTGTCCACACACACTCCGCTGTTCTGCTCTAGCCAGAGAACACTCCCGTTGCAGGAACACTTTTAGTAGTCCAAGAAGAAGCAAATATATTTATTAAGTAGCTATAACGAAGTTATATGTTAAGTATTATATTTCACCAGATTTTATAGTGTAAAACATATTCAAGCGCGAATGAGAACCGTTTCGAGGGGGATGCCAGGTGTGCAAAAAAACACACACAAAAAACGAATATTCGAATGTCACATTTTCAAATCGAATACCAACCCACCGAACGAATATTCGAATATTTGGGTCCAGCCCTAGTTAGTAGTGTGTTAAACTGGCGGTTATGGATTGGGGCGGGACATTTCCCAAACACCCTCAAAGCGCTCGACCAATCACAACACACTGCTCCAGCCAACCAATCAGAGCACAGTGTGCTTTTCAGGAGGAGGGGCTTCATAGAGACAGGAAGTAAACAGAGCGTTACTGACAGACTGGGAAGAGAGGAGCCGCAACAATGGAGAATATGAGGAGAATAATCAACATTCAAGCAGGAAAACCTGTTCTAGTAGAGCCTGAAACATCATCAAGACTGTGTAAAACAGCATAATGCGGCCTCTTTAAAACTCCAAATTCAGCCAGATTTCCTTTCAGAATCCTTTGATGGAGTTTGTTTCTTTACTGTTTTATATTAGTAATCAATAATCTGCTGTTGTTTGTGTGTGCAGGCAGAAGAGTCGAGCAGACACCTGTCCCGCAGCGACAGCCGGTACGGGACCCTGAAGAGAGGAGCGAGGGAGGAGAGCCAGGCGAGTACTAGGGGTTTGAGTGTGTGTTCTAGCAAAACCGTGTGTTTGAGTGTGTGTTCTAGCAAAACCGTGTGTTTGAGTGTGTGTTCTAGCAAAACCGTGTGTTTGAGTGTGTGTTCTAGCAAAACCGTGTGTTTGAGTGTGTGTTCTAGCAAAACCGTGTGTTTGAGTGTGTGTTCTAGCAGAACCGTGTGTTTGAGTGTGTGTTCTAGCAAAACCGTGTGTTTGAGTGTGTGTTCTAGCAGAACCGTGTGTTTGAGTGTGTGTTCTAGCAAAACCGTGTGTTTGAGTGTGTGTTCTAGCAAAACCGTGTGTTTGAGTGTGTGTTTTAGCAGAACCATGTGTTTGAGTGTGTGTTTTAGCAGAACCATGTGTTTGAGTGTGTGTTTTAGCAGAACCGTGTGTTTGAGTGTGTGTTTTAGCAGAACCGTGTGTTTGAGTGTGTGTTTTAGCAGAACCGTGTGTTTGAGTGTGTGTTTTAGCAGAACCATGTGTTTGAGTGTGTGTTTTAGCAGAACCGTGTGTTTGAGTGTGTGTTCTAGCAGAACCGTGTGTTTGAGTGTGTGTTTTAGCAGAACCATGTGTTTGAGTGTGTGTTTTAGCAGAACCATGTGTTTGAGTGTGTGTTTTAGCAGAACCATGTGTTTGAGTGTGTGTTTTAGCAGAACCATGTGTTTGAGTGTGTGTTTTAGCAGAACCATGTGTTTGAGTGTGTGTTTTAGCAGAACCGTGTGTTTGAGTGTGTGTTTTAGCAGAACCGTGTGTTTGAGTGTGTGTTTTAGCAGAACCGTGTGTTTGAGTGTGTGTTTTAGCAGAACCGTGTGTTTGGAGTGTGTTTTAGCAGAACCGTGTGTTTGAGTGTGTGTTTTAGCAGAACCATGTGTTTGAGTGTGTGTTTTAGCAAAACCGTGTGTTTGGAGTGTGTTTTAGCAGAACCGTGTGTTTGAGTGTGTGTTTTAGCAGAACCGTGTGTTTGAGTGTGTGTTTTAGCAGAACCGTGTGTTTGAGTGTGTGTTTTAGCAGAACCGTGTGTTTGGAGTGTGTTTTAGCAGAACCGTGTGTTTGAGTGTGTGTTTTAGCAGAACCGTGTGTTTGAGTGTGTGTTTTAGCAGAACCGTGTGTTTGAGTGTGTGTTTTAGCAGAACCATGTGTTTGAGTGTGTGTTCTAGCAGAACCATGTGTTTGAGTGTGTGTTTTAGCAGAACCGTGTGTTTGAGTGTGTGTTTTAGCAGAACCATGTGTTTGAGTGTGTGTTTTAGCAGAACCGTGTGTTTGAGTGTGTGTTTTAGCAGAACCGTGTGTTTGAGTGTGTGTTTTAGCAGAACCGTGTGTTTGAGTGTGTGTTTTAGCAGAACCGTGTGTTTGGAGTGTGTTTTAGCAGAACCGTGTGTTTGAGTGTGTGTTTTAGCAGAACCGTGTGTTTGAGTGTGTGTTTTAGCAGAACCGTGTGTTTGGAGTGTGTTTTAGCAGAACCGTGTGTTTGAGTGTGTGTTTTAGCAGAACCGTGTGTTTGAGTGTGTGTTTTAGCAGAACCGTGTGTTTGAGTGTGTGTGTTTTAGCAGAACCGTGTGTTTGAGTGTGTGTTCTAGCAGAACCGTGTGTTTGAGTGTGTGTTCTAGCAGAACCGTGTGTTTGAGTGTGTGTTTTAGCAGAACCGTGTGTTTGAGTGTGTGTGTTTTAGCAGAACCGTGTGTTTGAGTGTGTGTTCTAGCAGAACCATGTGTTTGAGTGTGTGTTCTAGCAGAACCGTGTGTTTGAGTGTGTGTGTTTTAGCAGAACCGTGTGTTTGAGTGTGTGTTCTAGCAGAACCATGTGTTTGAGTGTGTGTTCTAGCAGAACCGTGTGTTTGAGTGTGTGTTCTAGCAGAACCGTGTGTTTGAGTGTGTGTGTTCTAGCAGAACCGTGTGTTTGAGTGTGTTCTAGCAGAACCGTGTGTTTGAGTGTGTGTGTTCTAGCAGAACCGTGTGTTTAAGTGTGTGTTCTAGCAGAACCGTGTGTTTGAGTGTGTGTTCTAGCAGAACCGTGTGTTTGAGTGTGTGTTCTACCAGAACCGTGTGTTTGAGTGTGTGTTTTAGCAGAACCATGTGTTTGAGTGTGTGTTCTAGCAGAACCGTGTGTTTGAGTGTGTGTTCTAGCAGAACCGTGTGTTTGAGTGTGTGTTCTAGCAGAACCGTGTGTTTGAGTGTGTGTTCTAGCAGAACCGTGTGTTTGAGTGTGTGTTCTAGCAGAACCGTGTGTTTGAGTGTGTGTTCTACCAGAACCGTGTGTTTGAGTGTGTGTTCTACCAGAACCGTGTGTTTGAGTGTGTGTTCTAGCAGAACCGTGTGTTTGAGTGTGTGTTTTAGCAGAACCGTGTGTTTGAGTGTGTGTTCTAGCAGAAGCGTGTGTTTGAGTGTGTGTTTTAGCAGAACCGTGTGTTTGAGTGTGTGTTTTAGCAGAACCATGTGTTTGAGTGTGTGTTCTAGCAGAACCATGTGTTTGAGTGTGTGTTTTAGCAGAACCATGTGTTTGAGTGTGTGTTTTAGCAGAACCATGTGTTTGAGTGTGTGTTCTAGCAGAACCGTGTGTTTGAGTGTGTGTTTTAGCAGAACCATGTGTTTGAGTGTGTGTTCTAGCAGAACCGTGTGTTTGAGTGTGTGTTTTAGCAGAACCGTGTGTGTTCTAGCAGAACCGTGTGTTTGAGTGTGTGTTCTAGCAGAACCGTGTGTTCGAGTGTGTCTTCTAGCAGAACCGTGTGTTTGAGTGTGTGTTTTAGCAGAACCATGTGTTTGAGTGTGTGTTTTAGCAGAACCGTGTGTTTGAGTGTGTGTTTTAGCAGAACCGTGTGTTTGAGTGTGTGTTCTAGCAGGAGTGTGTGTTTGAGTGTGTGTTTGAGTGTGTGTTTGAGTGTGTGTTTGAGTGTGTGTTTGAGTGTGTGTTTGAGTGTGTGTTTGAGTGTGTGTTTGAGTGTGTGTTTGAGTGTGTGTTTTAGCAGAACCATATGTTTGAGTGTGTGTTTTAGCAGAACCGTGTGTTTGAGTGTGTGTGTTCTAGCAGAACCGTGTGTTTGAGTGTGTGTTCTAGCAGAACCGTGTGTTTGAGTGTGTGTGTTCTAGCAGAACCGTGTGTTTGAGTGTGTGTGTTCTAGCAGAACCGTGTGTTTGAGTGTGTGTTCTAGCAGAACCGTGTGTTTGAGTGTGTGTTCTAGCAGAACCGTGTGTTTGAGTGTGTGTGTTCTAGCAGAACCGTGTGTTTGAGTGTGTGTTTTAGCAGAACCATGTGTTTGAGTGTGTGTTCTAGCAGAACCGTGTGTTTGAGTGTGTGTTCTAGCAGAACCGTGTGTTTGAGTGTGTGTTCTACCAGAACCGTGTGTTTGAGTGTGTGTTTTAGCAGAACCATGTGTTTGAGTGTGTGTTCTAGCAGAACCGTGTGTTTGAGTGTGTGTTCTAGCAGAACCGTGTGTTTGAGTGTGTGTTCTACCAGAACCGTGTGTTTGAGTGTGTGTTTTAGCAGAACCGTGTGTTTGAGTGTGTGTTCTAGCAGAACCGTGTGTTTGAGTGTGTGTTCTAGCAGAACCGTGTGTTTGAGTGTGTGTTCTACCAGAACCGTGTGTTTGAGTGTGTGTTCTACCAGAACCGTGTGTTTGAGTGTGTGTTCTACCAGAACCGTGTGTTTGAGTGTGTGTTTTAGCAGAACCGTGTGTTTGAGTGTGTGTTCTAGCAGAACCGTGTGTTTGAGTGTGTGTTTTAGCAGAACCGTGTGTTTGAGTGTGTGTTTTAGCAGAACCATGTGTTTGAGTGTGTGTTCTAGCAGAACCATGTGTTTGAGTGTGTGTTTTAGCAGAACCATGTGTTTGAGTGTGTGTTTTAGCAGAACCATGTGTTTGAGTGTGTGTTCTAGCAGAACCGTGTGTTTGAGTGTGTGTTTTAGCAGAACCGTGTGTGTTCTAGCAGAACCGTGTGTTTGAGTGTGTGTTCTAGCAGAACCGTGTGTTCGAGTGTGTCTTCTAGCAGAACCGTGTGTTTGAGTGTGTGTTTTAGCAGAACCGTGTGTTTGAGTGTGTGTTCTAGCAGGAGTGTGTGTTTGAGTGTGTGTTTGAGTGTGTGTTTGAGTGTGTGTTTGAGTGTGTGTTTGAGTGTGTGTTTGAGTGTGTGTTTGAGTGTGTGTTTGAGTGTGTGTTTGAGTGTGTGTTTTAGCAGAACCATATGTTTGAGTGTGTGTTTTAGCAGAACCGTGTGTTTGAGTGTGTGTGTTCTAGCAGAACCGTGTGTTTGAGTGTGTGTTCTAGCAGAACCGTGTGTTTGAGTGTGTGTGTTCTAGCAGAACCGTGTGTTTGAGTGTGTGTGTTCTAGCAGAACCGTGTGTTTGAGTGTGTGTTCTAGCAGAACCGTGTGTTTGAGTGTGTGTTCTAGCAGAACCGTGTGTTTGAGTGTGTGTGTTCTAGCAGAACCGTGTGTTTGAGTGTGTGTTTTAGCAGAACCATGTGTTTGAGTGTGTGTTCTAGCAGAACCGTGTGTTTGAGTGTGTGTTCTAGCAGAACCGTGTGTTTGAGTGTGTGTTCTACCAGAACCGTGTGTTTGAGTGTGTGTTTTAGCAGAACCATGTGTTTGAGTGTGTGTTCTAGCAGAACCGTGTGTTTGAGTGTGTGTTCTAGCAGAACCGTGTGTTTGAGTGTGTGTTCTACCAGAACCGTGTGTTTGAGTGTGTGTTTTAGCAGAACCGTGTGTTTGAGTGTGTGTTCTAGCAGAACCGTGTGTTTGAGTGTGTGTTCTAGCAGAACCGTGTGTTTGAGTGTGTGTTCTACCAGAACCGTGTGTTTGAGTGTGTGTTCTACCAGAACCGTGTGTTTGAGTGTGTGTTCTACCAGAACCGTGTGTTTGAGTGTGTGTTTTAGCAGAACCGTGTGTTTGAGTGTGTGTTCTAGCAGAACCGTGTGTTTGAGTGTGTGTTTTAGCAGAACCGTGTGTTTGAGTGTGTGTTTTAGCAGAACCATGTGTTTGAGTGTGTGTTCTAGCAGAACCATGTGTTTGAGTGTGTGTTTTAGCAGAACCATGTGTTTGAGTGTGTGTTTTAGCAGAACCATGTGTTTGAGTGTGTGTTTTAGCAGAACCGTGTGTTTGAGTGTGTGTTCTACCAGAACCGTGTGTTTGAGTGTGTGTTCTACCAGAACCGTGTGTTTGAGTGTGTGTTTTAGCAGAACCGTGTGTTTGAGTGTGTGTTCTAGCAGAACCGTGTGTTTGAGTGTGTGTTTTAGCAGAACCGTGTGTTTGAGTGTGTGTTTTAGCAGAACCATGTGTTTGAGTGTGTGTTCTAGCAGAACCATGTGTTTGAGTGTGTGTTTTAGCAGAACCATGTGTTTGAGTGTGTGTTCTAGCAGAACCGTGTGTTTGAGTGTGTGTTTTAGCAGAACCGTGTGTGTTCTAGCAGAACCGTGTGTTTGAGTGTGTGTTCTAGCAGAACCGTGTGTTCGAGTGTGTCTTCTAGCAGAACCGTGTGTTCGAGTGTGTGTTTTAGCAGAACCATGTGTTTGAGTGTGTGTTTTAGCAGAACCGTGTGTTTGAGTGTGTGTTTTAGCAGAACCGTGTGTTTGAGTGTGTGTTCTAGCAGGAGTGTGTGTTTGAGTGTGTGTTTGAGTGTGTGTTTGAGTGTGTGTTTGAGTGTGTGTTTGAGTGTGTGTTTGAGTGTGTGTTTGAGTGTGTGTTTGAGTGTGTGTTTGAGTGTGTGTTTGAGTGTGTGTTTGAGTGTGTGTTTGAGTGTGTGTTTGAGTGTGTGTTTGAGTGTGTGTTTGAGTGTGTGTTCGAGTGTGTGTTCGAGTGTGTGTTCGAGTGTGTGTTCGAGTGTGTGTTCGAGTGTGTGTTCGAGTGTGTGTTCGAGTGTGTGTTCGAGTGTGTGTTCGAGTGTGTGTTTGAGTGTGTGTTTGAGTGTGTGTTTGAGTGTGTGTTTGAGTGTGTGTTCGAGTGTGTCTTCTAGCAGAACCGTGTGTTTGAGTGTGTGTTCTAGCAGAACCGTGTGTTTGAGTTTGTGTTCTAGCAGAACCATGTGTTTGAGTGTGTGTTCTAGCAGAACCGTGTGTTTGAGTGTGTGTTTTAGCAGAACCGTGTGTGTTCTAGCAGAACCGTGTGTTTGAGTGTGTGTTCTAGCAGAACCGTGTGTTTGAGTGTGTTCTAGCAGAACCGTGTGTTCGAGTGTGTCTTCTAGCAGAACCGTGTGTTCGAGTGTGTCTTCTAGCAGAACCGTGTGTTTGAGTGTGTGTTTTAGCAGAACCGTGTGTTTGAGTGTGTGTTTTAGCAGAACCGTGTGTTTGAGTGTGTGTTCTAGCAGGAGTGTGTGTTTGAGTGTGTGTTTGAGTGTGTGTTTGAGTGTGTGTTTGAGTGTGTGTTTGAGTGTGTGTTTGAGTGTGTGTTTGAGTGTGTGTTCAAATGTGTCTTCTAGCAGAACCGTGTGTTTGAGTGTGTGTTCTAGCAGAACCGTGTGTTTGAGTTTGTGTTCTAGCAGAACCATGTGTTTGAGTGTGTGTGTTTGAGTGTGTGTTCTAGCAGAACCGTGTGTTTGAGTGTGTGTTCTAGCAGAACCGTGTGTTTGAGTGTGTGTTCTAGCAGAACCGTGTGTTTGAGTGTGTGTTCTAGCAGAACCGTGTGTTTGAGTGTGTGTTCAAGTGTGTCTTCTAGCAGAACCGTGTGTTTGAGTGTGTGTTCTAGCAGAACCATGTGTTTGAGTGTGTGTTTGAGTGTGTGTTCAAGTGTGTCTTCTGGCAGAACCGTGTGTTTGAGTGTGTGTTCTAGCAGAACCATGTGTTAACTCTCTCACAGATCTATACTTGCTGAACAGGACTCACTGATCCAATCAGATCAGTTTTGTTACAAACATGTTACTTTGTTGCAAGTTTCGTGTACTAATGAACAATTATATGGTTTTTTTTAGAGTGAAGATGATCTGCTTTCTGAGAACGTAGAAATGGTAAGATTTACATATTTTTTTAAACCAAATTATATGTGTAATAGTTTTACTGTTGTGAATTATAAAAGCTGCTATTTCATGAAAGATTCAGTTTCCAGGATAGGTGACGCAAGCAAATTCAAAATATGAGTAGAGCATAAGTGACCCTGATGCATGCTGGGACACGCAGGTGAGGGAGACTCGTGTGGTGAATCATCAACAGGTGTGTGTGTCTCGAGTCAGTGTTTACTCGTGAGACGCTCCTCTGTGAATCACACCACTCAGGGGCTCAGTAGGCATATCTCTCTAAGCCCCGCCTCTCTGAGCGCTGCTCTGCTGTGATTGGTCAGAAGCAAACGCTCATTATCATATCTGAATCTCAGCTCTTGATCACAGTGATACGAACAGTAACGATGGCGTGGGTTTCACCGCCCAATCTCAGAAAACAGCGACGACTCGACACGAACAACACGAGCCGAACTCTCCCAGTCTCAGATACACTACAGTGATTGAGGGCGGAGCTAAGAGACGCTGCTCAGCCAATCAGGACCAGAGGCTGACATTATGCAAATTAGTTACAAACCTGAGACTGAATTACTGACGATTCGTTTCAGTTCAGAATCACTTCTTTCTTTAAGGAGACAAACTCTTTTACATTCACACTCAGCTCTATCACACACTACATGACAGGGAATATGTGCAGGCATTACAGCGGCACTTTAAGAACTATAGAACGTCAAAGCTGACAAAATAAGAAAAAAAAATGCAAATAAATGTAAAAAACAAACAAAAATTAGTTTTCTTTATGTATTATTATATTTTCTCCACATTTATTAATGAATCTATTTATACATTTGTTTACATTTATTTCTTAAAGGTGCAGTGTGTAATATTTAGTAGGATCTGTTGACAGAAATGCAATATCATAAACATAACTATGTGTTCAGTGGTGTGTAAAGACCTTACATAATGAGGAGTATGTGTGTGCAGGAGCTGGACACTGATGAGTGTGTGTGTGTGTGCAGGAGCTGGACTCTGAGGAGTGTGTGTGTGTGTGTGCAGGAGCTGGACACTGATGAGTGTGTGTGTGTGCAGGAGCTGGACTCTGAGGAGTGTGTGTGTGTGTGTGCAGGAGCCGGACTCTGAGGAGTGTGTGTGTGTGTGTGCAGGGACTGGACACTGATGAGTGTGTGTGTGTGTGCAGGAGCTGATCTCTGAGGAGTGTGTGTGTGTGCAGGGACTGGACACTGATGAGTGTGTGTGTGTGTGCAGGAGCTGGACTCTGAGGAGTGTGTGTGTGTGCAGGAGGAGTGTGTGAGGACTCTCTCGCTCCAGCAGGAGGCGCTGCTCTTCCAGGTTGATGTTCTTCAGGACGCGCTCGAGGGGACGGAGGAGATGCTCGCCGAAACACAGAGAGAGACTCATCAGCTCACACTGGTACTGAGACCCGCTGCTCCACACACACACACACACACACACACACACACACACTGAGCTAAAGATATGTGTTTCTGTCTGAGCAGGAGCTGGAGAGAGAGAGAGCGATGAGGAGGAAGATGGAGGACAAGCTCGCCTCAGTAACACAGGAGATGGAGAGGTTACGAGAGGTGAGGAAACACTACGCTTACACAATCACATCACATCTATATATATAGAGAGAGAGAGAGAGAGACACACACTGCATGCTTGCATAACCATGTTTGGGGAACTGTGAGTGTGTTCACTTCTCTCTTATTTTGTTATTTTATCATTCACCATGAGAGCAAAATGTGCCTGATGTGTTTTACTGTAGGAAGTGCGATAGAGGGATCCCCGAGAATCCTTTAGTTTCATGAAACACCTCACATCATTTCCTGAGGATGAGCAGACGCTTCTGAGTCTTGTGACGTTTCACTCATCCGCAGTTCTGGAATAAACACTCATTTCCTCCAAAGGGAAACATTATTTCAACTTATCCTTCAAATAATCATGGAATTCATGGTGAAAACCTACATTACCCATGATGCTACAGTCAGAAAGTTCCACCAGTCAGAGAGCCTCGACAAGCAAATCACGCCAAGATATCTCTTTAGCTCCGCCCACTCCCATGAAGCACTGCGAACGAGTCGATCTCAGAATACTGAAATATTAGTACATTCAGGACATGGCATCTTTACACTTTATTCAAATATTATTAGAAATGTGTTGTCGAGTGACGTGTTTCAGAGGATCATCTGATAAACTACAACTATCATTACCAGTCTTGCTAAATGTTAAATATGATTCACATAAATTGCTAAATGACTATAAATACTAAAAAAAAAAAAAATCTATTTAATAAAGGTAAAGGAATTGACAGTAATTGTTGTCACAAAACATCTCTTCTCCTCCGTCAATGAAGTGAAAAACAAAACATTTCATAGATTTGTTTAACACTGAATGAGGATCAAGTGATTTTATAAACCTAAATCTGTCCCACTTTATATGAGCTGTCTTTAGCTGCTGTTCTTACATCACAAATAACTGTTTTTGAAAAGAAATTGACAACATTTTGTCCTGCATTAAACTGATCAAAAGTGACATTAAAGATATTTATAATGTTACAAAAGATTCTATATCAAATTAATGCTGTTCTTTTGAACTTTCTATTCATCAAAGAATCCTGAAAAATAAAAATGTATCAGTTTCCACAGAAATATTATATTTATAAAAAAAAAAAAAGCTTCTTTGCACTAAGAACTTAGTGACGAAACACGTTTGTCCGCTCAGGGCCACCGTAGAAACATGTCGGTGTAAGCGGACCCGCGGTGTGTGTAGAGAGAAACGCCTCATTCTAAGATAATAAAACACAACGCTTCATTATGTAAGCTCTTTATACACCATTGAACACACAGTTATGTTTATGATATTGCATTTCTGTCAACAGATCCTCCTAAATATTACACACTGCACCTTTAACTACTTGGAACTTTCAAAGTGGTTTGCTGCCACCCTTATGGTTTATAATCTGCCTCCAGATTGTGTTTGACGGATGTTTGCTCGTGTGTTTAGGAGAGGACAGTGGAGCAGACGTGCAGACCCGCTCCTGAAGGATCATCAGTGGATCGAGACGAAACTCCACTCCCGGCCAGTGGAGGCGCTCCTGTGCATCTCAACACACCAGTGCTGCACCTGAAGAACATCATCAGACAATCCCTGGGTCTCTCGGTGTGTGAGGATCATCAGACTCCTGAAGTGTGTGAGGATCTTCAGACTCCTGAAGCTCAGGATGAGAACGAGGAGAGCAGTGGATACGAAGACGCCCCGTCTGAGTTCTCTCCCACTGCCGACACTCCCGACGTTCCCGACATTCCCGATCCCGATGAGGAACCCGACGGGAATATCCCTGCCAGGATCCGCACTAATGATGACTCCTGTACTCTCTCTTAAAGTCCTTTATATAACCATACAAAAAAAAAGGTTCTGATAAATTTGTGTACTATAGAATTGTGACACTTGATCCAAGTTACATTCACTGAAACAGCCTTTGCACAAGCTAACAACTTTACAATGAAGACTACTTTGTTTTACTCATCACCAGTCAACAAAATTATTTAGGAAAAGAAGGAATCTGCACTTTGGATCCCACTTTATATTGGGTGTCTTTAACTAGTGTGTTTACTTTTAAATAATTTCAGGTGTAATTACACTGTTGACGTTCCCATAAACCTTCCCAAACCTGTCAATTCATTCACAATACAACATCAACATAGAACACTGTACCCAACAGTTATTATTTGCTGGCGTAAGTACCTAGTAGGTAAAGAGGACCTGTTCTGCCCTTTTACAGGCTCTACTAGAACAGGTTTTCCTTTTAAAGACACCTAATATAAAGTGTGATCGGACTTTGTTTTTGCTAGTAAATTCCATGTTTTTTGTTTTTGTTTTATTTGTTTTATTTTTTATTTTTGTGTTGGATTTTAAGACACTTGTTAATAAGGAATTACTTTGTATTTGTATTTTGGCCCTTTTAAAAAATGCAATTTGTTTTATTTTTTATTTTTGTGTTGGATTTTAAGACACTTGTTAATAAGGAATTACTTTGTATTTGTATTTTGGCCCTATTAAAAAATGCAATTTAATTTGTTTCATGTTGTATTAATCACGTCACAGTTATCACTTTAAGAACAAAAAACAACGGAGCGGTAATGAAGCCTGCAGGATTGAGGAAGTTTCACAGGGAATCTGTTCAGTAGGAGCTGTTAGTGAATCAGGACAGTTTACAGTTAGAGAAAACCTGCCGGCAGAAAAGCCAGTTCCAGTATTGATGAAGAAGTTCCAGTATTGATGAGGTAGAGTTCCAGTGTTGATGAGGTAAGAAGTTCCAGTATTGATGAGGTAAGAAGTTCCAGTATTGATGAAGAAGTTCCAGTATTGATGAGGTAGAGTTCCAGTATTGATGAAGTAAGAAGCTCCGGTATTAATGAGGTAAGAAGTTCCAGTATTGATGAGGTAAAACGTTCCAGTATTGATGAAGTAAGAAGCTCCGGTATTAATGAGGTAAGAAGTTCCAGTATTGATGAGGTAAAACGTTCCAGTATTGATGAAGAAGTTCCAGTATTGATGAGGTAGAGTTCCAGTGTTGATGAGGTAAGAAGTTCCAGTATTGATGAGGTAAGAAGTTCCAGTATTGATGAAGAAGTTCCAGTATTGATGAGGTAGAGTTCCAGTGTTGATGAGGTAAGAAGTTCCAGTATTGATGAAGAAGTTCCAGTATTGATGAGGTAGAGTTCCAGTATTGATGAAGTAAGAAGCTCCGGTATTAATGAGGTAAGAAGTTCCAGTATTGATGAGGTAAAACGTTCCAGTATTGATGAAGTAAGAAGCTCCGGTATTAATGAGGTAAGAAGTTCCAGTATTGATGAGGTAAAACGTTCCAGTATTGATGAAGAAGTTCCAGTATTGATGAGGTAGAGTTCCAGTGTTGATGAGGTAAGAAGTTCCAGTATTGATGAGGTAAGAAGTTCCAGTATTGATGAAGAAGTTCCAGTATTGATGAGGTAGAGTTCCAGTGTTGATGAGGTAAGAAGTTCCAGTATTGATGAAGAAGTTCCAGTATTGATGAGGTAAGAAGTTCCAGTATTGATGAAGTAAGAAGCTCCGGTATTAATGAGGTAAGAAGTTCCAGTATTGATGAGGTAAAACGTTCCAGTATTGATGAGGTAGAGTTCCAGTGTTGATGAGGTAAGAAGTTCCAGTATTGATGAGGTAAGAAGTTCCAGTATTGATGAGGTAGAGTTCCAGTGTTGATGAGGTAAGAAGTTCCAGTGTTGATGAGGTAAGAAGTTCCAGTATTGATGAGGTAAAACGTTCCAGTATTGATGAGGTAGAGTTCCAGTGTTGATGAGGTAAGAAGTTCCAGTATTGATGAGGTAAGAAGTTCCAGTATTGATGAGGTAGAGTTCCAGTGTTGATGAGGTAAGAAGTTCCAGTGTTGATGAGGTAAGAAGTTCCAGTATTGATGAGGTAGAGTTCCAGTGTTGATGAGGTAAGAAGTTCCAGTATTGATGAAGAAGTTCCAGTATTGATGAGGTAGAGTTCCAGTATTGATGAAGTAAGAAGCTCCGGTATTAATGAGGTAAGAAGTTCCAGTATTGATGAGTTAAAACGTTCCAGTATTGATGAAGAAGTTCCAGTATTGATGAGGTAGAGTTCCAGTATTGATGAAGAAGTTCCAGTATTGATGAGGTAGAGTTCCAGTGTTGATGAGGTAAGAAGTTCCAGTATTGATGAAGAAGTTCCGGTATTGATGAAGAAGTTCCAGTATTGATGAGGTAGAGTTCCAGTGTTGATGAGGTAGAGTTCCAGTATTGATGAAGTAAGAAGTTCCAGTATTGATGAAGTAAGAAGTTCCGGTATTGATGAAGTAAGAATTTCCAGTATTGATGAGGTAAGAAGTTCCAGTATTGATGAGGTAAGAAGTTCCAGTATTGATGAAGTTCCAGTATTGATGAGGTAGAGTTCCAGTATTGATGAAGTAAGAAGTTCCAGTATTGATGAGATAAGAAATTCCAGTATTGATGAAGAAGTTCCAGTATTGATGAGGTAAGAAGTTCCAGTATTGATGAAGTAAGAAGTTCCCATATTGATGAGGTAAGAAGTTCCAGTATTGATTAAGTAAGTTCCAGTAATGATGAGGTAGAGTTCCAGTATTGATGAAGTAAGAAGTTCCAGTATTGATTAAGTAAGTTCCAGTAATGATGAGGTAGAGTTCCAGTATTGATGAAGTAAGTTCCAGTATTGATGAGGTAAGAAGTTCCAGTATTGATTAAGTAAGTTCCAGTAATGATGAGGTAGAGTTCCAGTATTGATGAAGTAAGAAGTTCCAGTATTCATGAAGAAGTGCCAGTATTGATGAGGTAAGAAGTTCCAGTATTGATGAAGAAGTGCCAGTATTGATGAAGTAAGAAGTTCCAGTATTGATGAGGTAGAGTTCCAGTATTGATAAAGTAAGAAGTTCCGGTATTGATGAGGTAAGGAGTTCCAGTATTGATGAAGTAAGAAGTTCCAGTATTGATGAAGTAAGAAGTTCCAGTATTGATGAAGTAAGAAGTTCCAGTATTGATGAAATAAGAAGTTCCAGTATTGATGAAGTAAGAAGTTCCAGTATTGATGAAGTAAGAAGTTCCAGTATTGATGAAGTAAGAAGTTCCAGTATTGATGAAATAAGAAGTTCCAGTATTGATGAAGTAAGAAGTTCCAGTATTGATGAGGTGAGAAGTTCCAGTATTGATGAGGTGAGAAGTTCCAGTATTGATGAAGTAAGAAGTTCCAGTATTGATGAAGTAAGACGTTCCAGTATTGATGTAGTAAGAAGTTGCAGTATTGATGAAGTAAGAAGTTCCAGTATTGATGAAGTAAGACGTTCCAGTATTGATGTAGTGAGAAGTTCCAGTATTGATGAAGTAAGAAGTTCCAGTATTGATGAAGTAAGAAGTTCCAGTATTGATGAAGTAAGAAGTTCCAGTATTGATGAAGTAAGAAGTTCCAGTATTGATGAAGTTCCAGTATTGATGAAGTAAGAAGTTCCAGTATTGATGAAGTAAGAAGTTCCAGTATTGATGAAGTAAGAAGTTCCAGTATTGATGAAATAAGAAGTTCCAGTATTGATGAAGTAAGAAGTTCCAGTATTGATGAAGTAAGAAGTTCCAGTATTGATGAAGTAAGAAGTTCCAGTATTGATGAAGTTCCAGTATTGATGAAGTAAGAAGTTCCAGTATTGATGAAGTAAGAAGTTCCAGTATTGATGAAGTAAGAAGTTCCAGTATTGATGAAATAAGAAGTTCCAGTATTGATGAAGTAAGAAGTTCCAGTATTGATGAAGTAAGAAGTTCCAGTATTGATGAAGTAAGAAGTTCCAGTATTGATGAAGTTCCAGTATTGATGAAGTTCCAGTATTGATGAAGTCTGCCCTACAAAGGCTAAGAGCAGTATCAGCAAAAACGCCAAACTGAGAAAAACAGCTTTTTGTGTTTTTCTTACGCCAAATATAAGCATCTAATTAAATTTAACAACAAAGGGTACAATTAGATAGATCAAAGGGAGGTGAATATTAAACATTTAGTTTTTTTGACAGTCAGGCAAAATTTGGTAGTTTTATAGGCTATACTGCGCTTTGCCTTTGCATTACTGTGTATACATGGCCATTCAATAACATATAGCAGTAAGTGTAGCAAGTGATCATAATCACTTGCTTATATCATAAATCATAAATCACCAAAACCTATGCACACAGCTGCAGCAGCTGCTTATAGTTGTCAAAAGTACAGTATATCTTAATTATAACCAAACTATTAAAATTATGTGGCATATTATGTAAACCCCCGTTTTATTTTTTTTATTTTTTTATTGACCGTTTTCTCCATCTTCATTCTTTCTGCTAAGCTGTGACTTTCCATCCCCTTTGGCATTATAATCATATTTTTCAAAAAACAAACAAACAAAAAACACGCGTTATTAGATTAATATATTTTACTTGTATCACAAAAGTGCTGTTTTTTTTATGGCAATCATTAACGTATTGCTTTTATTTCAGTTTGGGATAGGTCTTCACATGTAATTACAAACAGTTTAAGTTTAATCATTCAGGGAATCAATATATCAATAAATGAAATATGAGCTATATACATATACAGTATGCTATAAAACCTGACTCATGCCACACAAAGGCAAACTGCAGTATCATAGTGAAACCAAGCCAGACTGCAAGGCAGACTGCAGTACGGGCAGATACTGCATTCTGCCTTGGTTTCACTCTACTTTTCAATACAATACTGCAACTAAAAAATGTAAATTTATATAAGAAATTTATTAGGTAGCCATATGAAATTTTAACAGATTGTAGAGCAGATCCTGCACTTTTTATTTGTGCAAAAAAGATTTTTGTGAAAAATTGAAGATACTGCTCTTAGCCTTTGTAAGGCAGAAGTAAGAAGTTCCAGTATTGATGAAGTAAGAAGTTTCAGTATTGATGAAGTAAGAAGTTTCAGTATTGATGAGGTAAGAAGTTCCAGTATTGATGAGGTAAGAAGTTCCAGTATTGATGAAGTAAGAAGTTTCAGTATTGATGAAGTAAGAAGTTTCAGTATTGATGAGGTGAGAAGTTCCAGTATTGATGAAGTTCCAGTATTGATGAGGTAAGAAGTTTCAGTATTGATGAAGTAAGAAGTTCCAGTATTGATGAG